AGGTCATAGGCCGTGGTTTATTGCCCACATTTTGCTCATGTCTCTCCAGCAAGCATTTCCTGGCCCTGCATAGTCAAAGAAGAAGAAAGACAAATATAGTCATGTTTCTTTCCAAGTGTGTGGGTATTTGTGAAAATTTGTGGGATTTGGGCAGTTCATCAGCACTACTACTGCTAAGCACGAATTTGTGGGGAGTATAGAGGGAAAGTTAGAAACAGTGTTGGAATCTTATGTTTCTTTGCTTGGTTCCTCTTTTCCAAGTTTATCATGGGAGGCGCTGCCTCTTTCCTGTTTGAATGCTTGTCTCAGTTACTTCTTACTCGTTGCTGGGATAAAGTACTTCCACACCTAAAATTAAGGAAGGAAAGGTTTATTTAGCTCATAGTTTGTGGAGGTTTCATTCTATACTCGGTTTTATGCTCCCAGGCATAGTGACACATGGCAGAGAGTAGCAGTTCATGGCAGTAGAAGACAGCGAAGAGCAAAGGGAAGCATAGCAGCTGTGGCTTCTAGCAAGCCCCTCTCCCCTCCCTGTATTATAAGTAGGCTACGCCGGAGTGGGTGTGTAGAACTCACACAGTGACCTCGCTCTCCTCTTGCACAGAATGAGGATGCTTACAAACTAAGAACCCTGGCTCTCTGTTGAGTCACCTAATTAAACTTCTAAACTTCTCAAGTTGACACAGTGTATCAACCAATACAATGCTATTGGTCAAACTTGTGCTATTTAAATATTTAAATTAATTAATTAATTTGAGACAAGGTTCTTGCTGTGTGTCAATCTCCTGAGTTCTAGTAATCCTCCCACTTCAGCCTCCAGAGTGCTAGAACTACAAGTGCATGCCACCACACCCAATGTTATTGTGTCTGTGTTTAGTGGACGTGGTTTTGCTTACATCAGTAGTTATTGAAGAGGAAAAGCTATTGCCGTTTCTTTACTCAGATGTCTCTCTGCTTCTTCATATTTCAACTTACCTTTTCCTCCTTTCTGTGTATTACATCTGCCCAGCATTTCACAATGAGGATCCTTCACTGCTGCTAAAGTCTCTCTCTTGAGTTTAACAATGACAGATTCCTGACAGTCTTCTTTCATTTTCACCCTATCAATCTTGTTCTTGCTTCAACATTTTGATTGTGTTTTACCTCTCCTAGCTTTTCCTCATGACCATGCTAATTATTCAGGAAAATATTGAACACAAATTGTTAGTTCTGTGTAATTATCAAGCTAGTGTCGGTTTATCCAATAGAATCCACATGTACCTGATGAATACTTTCATCAGGAATAAAAAATAATTACTGAATTAACCACATGCCAAATCAGTGTTAGTTTCTTTAAAAACTTATGATGCTTAGTTTATTGTTGTATGTTAATCAGAGTAAGGTGTTTATATGATTAGCATGTAGGTTATTAGGAGAGTAGAAATGAAAATATTCTCAAGGAATATGTTTTCTGAATGAGGCATGGGCTTGTAACTGTTGCTAAGAACCTCGATAAAATTCCATCCTGTGTTCTCCTCAAAACAGTTATTTTATTTCTTTTCTCTTTGATTTTTATTTTCAGGCAAACTAAGGAGGTGACAAACTAGGACCTCCACTAGTTGTAGATAGCTGACTTTGTGAATAATCTTAGATTTGGCTAGGAGAGAAGCCCTCCTTGTCCAACTAAGATTTGTAAGTAGTTTCACATGACCACCAGCACACTGAAAGATTGAAGACAGGCAAGAACTTAAAAGAGGTAGTGGGAGAAGAAATAATTGTGAGACACCTATTTCTTTTTATTTTATTCTGTTCTATTGAGTGGGGAAGAGCTTCTGTCACAAGCCCACTCAATGCCAATTTACAAAAGGAACCATGAAAACTGTTTTATGCTTAAAAATTGGGTCTCTATAAGGAGGTAAAAAGGCCGTGTTGGATCAGTTCCACTGATACAGACACTGCCTGGATGAGTAACTGTCTTCATGAATTGAATGGAGTGCAGGACAGAGGCCCATGATGATGGGTTGGTTGGTAGCCTCCGAGTAACTGCTGTGTTGCCTACAGGCCTCAGCTCTGAGGACGGAAGAGGCAGTTACTCCTGTATGCTTACCTAGTAGGAGTTAGGACACTACCTTTCTTGCAGAGCTTCTTGAGAACCTTTTGTACTTACGTTGTATTTACAAAGAAGTCAGGGTCATGGTGCTTTGCAATCTTGTTTACAAAAATAAAAGGAGTCCAATTGTAATTGCAAAATACAGAGGGACAGAATTAAGGTTAACTGTGAATTTCCTGCTTCTCATGCAGTTAAATTCTCTCTCTTGCCATTAAGTTAATGTGATTTTTTTCCCTCACATAATTTGAGCATAAATTATCAGGCCAATATGAGATAAGTCAGTGTGGAGGATAGGGAGATAATGAAGTGGAAATCATTGAGAAGTTATAATTATAGTAGGTAGATTTTTAAGATACAAAAATCCTGTCAGTAAGTCAGTGAAAAAGTACTCTACAAAGTTAATCCACTAATATATTAGATTTATATGAGTCTATTAATATACTAGATTGTGATAAATGAATTTCAGATT